AATATTCTTAGGGATAGGAGTAGGTGTACCCTTACCCTGAACCAAACCTCCTATCTTGAAAAGGTCTTGAAAAAGTTCAAAATTGACTCTGCCCAACCTGTGAATGTTCCCTTAGCACCCCATTTTGTGCTAAGCAAGGATCAGTCCCCAAGGACTGCTCCTGAGATAGATAGGATGAAGGCTGTACCCTATTCCAGTGCTATAGGGTCAGTCATGTATCTCATGGTAAGCACAAGGCCTGATATAGCCTATGTTGTTAGTTGCTTAAGTAGATATATGGCAAACCCTGGTATGTCTCACTGGACTGCCCTTAAATGGCTCCTTAGATACCTTAGGGGTACACCTTCTCATGGTCTTGTTTTTTCTAAAACTGAAACTGGCATTTTACTTACTGGCTATGTTGACTCCAATTATGCAAATGATAGGGACAATAGAAAGTCTACTACTTCCTACATTTTTACTCTTTGTGGTTCCTGCATAAGTTGGAAATCTCAACTTCAACCTATTGTTGCACTGTCCACTACTGAATCTGAATACGTGGCAGCCACTGAGGCCTTTAAAGAGGCTATTTGGCTTAAACGAATGCTAACTGAAATTGGTTTTCTTAAGCAGGTTGTGACAGTGTACTCTGATAGTCAGTCTGCTATCCAATTATGCAAGAATCATGTATTCCATGACAGGACCAAGCATATTGATGTCAGGTTCCATTTTATTAGGAATATTGTGGATGCAGGTTGGATAAAGCTGTCCAAGATACCTTCAGAATTTAACCATGCAGATATGGGGACTAAATGTCTCAATTTTGAAAAACTTTTGTCTTGTAAACGAACTCTTAATTTAGACTGTGGCTAGATAAGAACAGGTACAAAACCGGCGATGATGATACTCCCATTCACGTTGTGCTCTACACCACCAGGGGGACCAATAAGGTGGAGATTGTGAGTTGGTATTGGTCCACCTCACTGGCCCATGGTCCATCCCATTAAATGAGTTGTCTGCTAATCTTATCCTACTGGCCCGTTTGGGCTGTCCGCCTGACTTAGCCCACTTGCCCTCATTTTGTCTTTGCCCAAGCCCATGTCTCTGTGGCCCTTACCTTATATTGTTCGTTCCTTCTGGAATCCACTATTTGATCGTCCCCTCCCTCTCTCTATCCGATGAGAGGTCTTTCCGGTTACCCCAGTTCTAGAGTGAGAGAGTGCTGGTATCATCTAGGGTGTGAGCTCCGGCTACCCTCCGGTGATACCTTTGGGGTCCTTCTGTGGGCTTCACTCTGTACTGGTAGTCTTGTGGGGGGTTTTCTTCTCCGGTGGGTTTTCTCTGGGCAGTCTGGTTTGGGAGGGTTGGGCACTATACTGAGTGTTTGAGACTAGATGCCCTCTGGTCTTCCCTTGTTGACTCCTTGGTGGTGAATGGTGAGCTAGCCCTTGGGCTATGGTGATTGAGGTCTGAGCCGGTCCAGTAACTCTACAGGTTGCATTTCTCATTTGCGTTTCAATTTCCGCACACCACATTTAGGTCTTGTTTGGTTCAAAGGAGGGGAGGGAAGGGGAGAGTCAAGGAGGGAAAGGAAGGGAAGGGGAGGGAAGGATTTTGATAAAAATTTGTGTTTGGTTGGAGAAAATAGGAGGAAAGGTTTAATGAAAATATTTTCGCAATTTACTTTTATTTGATAGCTTACTTAAAAAATAGATACATGTCTAACTATTGTGAATATTACTCTTATGGTCATGAGTCATAATTTTATTTGATTTGATTTTTTACTTTTTTAATTTCATAATTTTTCATTTTTCAGTTTGGATATTTTTTTACATTTTTTTATTTTTAATTTTTAATTTATAATTTTTTAATTTCTAAAATTTTTAATTTTTTAATTTTTTAATTTTTTAATTTTTTAATCTTTAAATTTTTAATTTTTAAATTTTTAAAATTTTCAAAACTTTTTGTTTTTTAACTTTTTATATTATAACGTTTTGTTCATTCATGTAGGAGATGAATAGTTTGTGGTTATCAACACGTTTCCTCCGAAATACCCCGATTTGAGGGATTTAGAATGAGAGGAAGTGGAGGATTTTGAAAGCCTTCTACTTTCCTCCCTTCCCCCATATTTCCTTCAACCAAACACACTCAAATCCCCTACTTTCCTCCCCTCCCCTCCGAAACCCTCCAACCAAACAAGGCCTTAGAGATCATCTGATGAGCTGCTCTTTGTTGAGTGTTGACCTTCGTTCATTTTCTCCTGAACCTTGTTTAGTTTCCCCTATCGGAACATATTTATGGTTAAATCATCGGTCCAAATGATGTCTACACCTTATGATTGATATCGCAATGATCCGATAGATGTCGAATGTGAATGGACCACAGAGAACTTGCGAAGGAATTCAACAACGAACAGGTGCAACTAATCCAAGACTAAGTAAGGAATGGAATGCTTAAGGTGGTGAAGCAGGATTTTTTTAAGTTACAGGTTTAATGTAAAGTACAATACTGAGCCTATAATAATTCTATTACACCCCCTCAAACTGTGCGGGAGATACAACGCACAGGTTGTCTTTCAAAAAATGAAAACGTTGACTAGATAGACTTTTAGTAAAAATATCTGCCAGCTGTAGATGAGTAGGAACATGTTGAACAATCAGATCTCCATGAGCAACCCGTTCGCGAACAAAATGATAATCAATCTGAATATGTTTACTGCGAGCATGCTGAACTGGATTTGCAGTCAAGTAAGAAGCAGATATATTATCACATAATAAATGTACCGGCTCGGAGATAGGCCATCCAAGTTCGAACAGGACTGAGCGGATATGTAGTGTGTCTTGTACTGTGTAAGCAATGGCACGATATTCCGCTTCTGTGGAGGACTTGGACACAGTGGGCTGCTTCTTAGCCTTCCAGGAAACCAAATTAGGGCCCAAAAATACAGCAAACCCTGTGGTAGACCGAGAACTATCAGGACAACCTGCCCAATCTGCATCGGAATAAGCAACTATACAGGTTGGCCGATTAGACTGCTGAAGCCAAAGTCCATGATCTCGTGTTCCCTGCAAGTATCTGAAAATTCTTTTGACTGCAAAAAGATGAGTGGTACGAGGAGCATGCATGAACTGAGACACTAAGTGTACTGCATAAGTAATATCTGGCCGTGTCAAAGTTAATATTGTAATGCACCAACCATGCTGCGATACTCAGTAGAATCAGATAATAACTCACCATCAGAAAGAGACAGAGTGGTACGGGAAGCTAACGGGGTGCGAACAGGTTTGACAGTATGAAGGTGAAAACGAGCTAGAAGGTCAGTAACATATTTATGTTGAGAGAGAAACAAACCTTTAGCTGAACGAATGGCCTCAACACCCAGAAAATAATGGAGATTACTCAAGTTTTTCATAGCAAAATGTTTAGATATAATTGAAATAAATTGGGTAACAGAGAATTCAGAATTACCAGTAATAATAATATCATCCACATATAGTAATAAATATATAATAGTATTATTCTGGCGGTATATGAACAAAGAATTGTCGGATTTGCTACAGGAAAAATTATGTTGTAGAAGAAAGCTACTAAATCTATGAAACCAGGCTCGTGGAGCTTGCTTAAGGCCATAAATGGCCTTGCGCAGACGACATATATGATTAGGAAAGTGAGGGTGAATAAAACCACGGGGCTGCCGCATATAAACTTCTTCTGTCAGATTCCCATGTAAGAAGGCATTTTTAACATCAAGTTGTCGTATACCCCACCCAAAAGAAATAGCTAGAGTAAGTACAATACGAACAGTGGTGGGTTTAACGACTGAACTAAAAGTTTCAGAGAAATCAATACCTGCCTGCTGATTAAAACCCTGTGCAACTAATCGAGCTTTATGGCGCTCTAAGGATCCATCAGAATGATATTTAGTTTTATAAATCCACTTACAACCAACAATATTTTTAGAGTTATCAAAGGGCACCAAGTCCCACGTATTATTATTAATGAGTGCATTAAATTCATCAGTCATCGCCTCACGCCATTTTAATTGTTTATTTGCCTCAGTAAAACAGGTAGGATCTGCATTGATAGTAACTGTACTTAAATTAAAAATGGTTTTAGGCTTAAAAATTCCTGACTTAGCACGGGTTTGCATGGGATGGTGATTAACTACCGTAGTGGACGTAGGTGAGGTGGTTTCAGGTGAGACAGTGTCGGTTTAGTTTGTCTGTGGCGTGCTAGACGAAGTATGGGAGGAGAGATGGGATGGTGGGGGGCTGGTTGTGGACGTGGGATAGGAGGAGTACAACGATAGCCTTTATAACCGGATGCATAGCCAAGGAAAACACACTGAACTGAACGTGGTGATAATTTATTGGCTGAGGTGGCATTAAAATTTGGATAACAGGCAGAACCAAATACTCGCATAAAGGAGTAATCTAGAACTCGGTTAAACAGTTTTTGATACGGAGTAAGACCATTTAAGGTAGGAGAGGGTAATCTATTAATAATATATGCAGCAGTAAATATGGCATCGACCCAATAGTGACTCGGAACCGAAGCTTCAAGAAGCATGGTCCTAGTTAACTCAAGTAAATGACGATGGTTGCGCTCAGCAACCCCATTCTGTTGAGGTGTGTCAGGACAAGATTTTCTAAAGTAAATGCCATTAGCAGAGAAAAATTGCTGCATATTATTATTAACAAATTCACCTCCCCCATAACTTTGAAAAATTTTAATTTTCTGATTAAAAAGATTTTCAACCAAAGCTTTAAAATTTTTAAAGTGCATGAAAACTTCATTTTTGTGACACATGGGATATATCCAAGTATAACGAGAAAAAATCATCAATGAAACATACATAATACTTGAATCCCAAATTTGAATACACAGGTGACTGTCACACATCAGAATGAATAATTTCCAAAGGAAAAATAGAATTATGACTAGCATCCATAAAAGGTAAACGTTGTGATTTTCCTAAACGACAGGCCACACACTCATGAGTAAAGGGAGTATGACTACATAAAAATTGTTTTCTCTTAAGAAACTGTAAAGTACTATCACCACAGTGACCTAATCTACGGTGCCACACAGGGCCAGAAGCTAAAACGGAAGCAAAAACTAATGGTGATGCAGACGGCAGATGGAGAGGATAAAGTGGTCCACTACTAGTAGCTCGCAGAAGTATTGCCCCCGTTGCTTTGTCCTTAACCAAGAAAGAATTTTTATCAAAAATTACAGTACAATTATTATTAGCACAGAGCCTTTTAATGGAAATTAAATTATATTTTAACTGAGGCACATGATAAACGGATTTTAAAGTGAGAGGACGACCAGATGTAGGTAAAGCAACATCACCAATATTACATATGGGAAGATGGGCACCATTGGCAACACTAACAGAATTATAGCCGGTGTAGGGAGATTTATTAACTAAATTACCTTCAGATGCAGTCATATGAGCAGAAGCTCCTGAATCAGGAAACCATAGAGCAGGAGTAGTGTCACCGGGAGTGGTCAACAGAGCAGGAGACGTCGGTTGTGTGAAACGGGAAGGACAGTTAATGGCAGAATGACCTGCAGAAAAAAAAATTTGACAGACAACAGGATGGGGAACAGATCCGAGAATACCTCCGTCTGATGGCAAGCCTGTATGACTAGTGTTAGTAACCCAGATAGGTAAAGCATTAATATTTAAGCGTGACATAGCAGAATTACAAATAACAGTACCTGTAGATGTCACACCCCCTGCAGGAGTACTCGGCTGCCCACCCCCTCCGGGGTAATAAACATGATGCCCCTGGGGGAACCAATATGCCTGCTGCTGCTGTCCTCGGCCACGCCCCCTGCCTCCGCGGCCTCTGCCGCGCCCACGTCCTCGTCCGCGTTGTGGAGCGCCGTTCTGCCGAGCCTGCCCGACCGGGTAAGTCTGTTGCCCGACCGGGTGAGTGGATCCTGAATTCTGCTGGGTTGGCTGATGCCCAGACGACTGCCTGGGATATGAAACAGCCGCGCCAAACGCCTGATGAATGGACTGGGACTCCTGGGAGCGGAGATAAAGGACCCGCTGCTCTAACTCAAGAAGATGATTACGGAGAGTCTCAAACGGGAAATTTTGTCCAAATAAGGACACAACAGTGTATAAAGATTCATACTCAGGTCCTAGACCCATAATAGTAGTTTTTAAAATTTCACGCTGAGGCACAGGGCAATTGATTGTGGCAAGATCATCAGCTAATGTTTTAATTTCTCGCAAATAATTATCCATGGACTGATCAGGTTTCTTTTTAATTTGATTAAATAAACGCTTTAATTCCATAGATCTCGCTAAACTAGCAGACATAAACCGAGACTCCAACCGCTCCCAAATTTCATATGAATGTTTTAAATCACGTACATCGATAAGAACATCCCTAGATAGGGTTGCAAATAACCATGAAAAGATGGTTTGATCAATTCTTAACCAAGTAGAAAATTCGGGATTGTGAGTTTGACGGTTAAGAGCATCTATGGAATAAGCAGGGGGTACCTGAATGGAGCCATCAACCATGCCAAGGAGAGCTTGGGACACCAAAAACGATTCGAACTGTGTACGCCAGGTAGTGTAGTCTTCCACTGCTAATAATTTGGTAGTTACAATATTTGTGACATTAGTTGCCACATGTGAGATACTCTGGGCGAGATCTGTGAGGAGTGAGCCAGTCGGGATGGCTGCTGGTGTGCGAGAGGGAGGGATGACAGAGGAGACACTAGGTGAGCCAACAAAAGTGGGACCGGCAAACGATGATCCAGCCGAGAAGGGTGGCGTGTAGAGGCCTGGGGCCGCTGGCATGGCAGATGGCTGCCACGGAAATCCCGGATGAAGAGTCCGAAACATTGAGTAGGCACCGGGAATGTCAGCGATGAAGGAAGAAGAGGGAGAGGAAAAATTTAGGTCTCTGATACCATGTGAAATAATGGAAAAGGTTACTCCCTGAGGAGCCCTGGCAGATATATTTATATTAGAGAGAGTTTAATGTAAAGTACAATACTGAGCCTATAATAATTCTATTACTTCCTACCAGATCATTAGACTTACCATAATAATGCAAACATAGTCCGTGCAAGGAGAACCTCAGACCGACCTTCATTATTGACTAATCAATCAATCAATAAACACATGAAACCCAAACAAGATTTTATAAGTAAGTCAGTAACTAGTAGTCATATTTATATAAATAAGTTTCAATTAAACAAAAAAATTAAAATACCTCTAAACATGTGTATTTTGTTAAAAAAATCATAACAAGGAGTCTTAGAGTAGCTAAGCAAGAATGGATAAAAAACATTAATTCATATACATGAACGGTCGTGACCCAAGGGTCGTATAAGAGCTAATTTATAAAATGGCAAGGGCCATACACAAATTAATGAAAGTGACATAAGAAAACAAATAATGTATAATACCAATACTGCTGAAGGAAATTATACCTATGAGCCTTTATTTTATTTTATGAGCCTTTATATTAAATAAAATATATATTAATATCTATGAGCCTTTATTTTATTCTATTTTTTGAAAATCCAATAACTTCATTAATTCATATCATGCCTTAAGACATGTACAACACAATCAGGTAGATTATCAATCCAAATACCGAAAATTCCAGAACAGGCTTCCCTAGCAAGAATATGGACAGCCTGGTTCGCTGAACGGTGCACAAATTGGACACTTATATTAGCAAACTCAGTCATCATGTGTCTAATACTCAAAAATAATACTCCTCTGTCCCTAAATGTTTGTCACACTTTGACTTCACAAGTTTTAAGGAGATGAATTTGACTCTACACTTATAACGACACTGTTTCACACTGTAGCGGTACTGTTTGGCACTGTTTTGCACTGTTTGACACTGTTTGGTATAGATTTGTTTACCAAATAAGAAAGTTGAAAAAGTATGACAAACATTTTGGGACATCCGTTTCGGGAAAGTGTGACAAACATTTAGGGACGGAAGGACTATCATTATAATGAATACCATCCCCTTTGTGAAGTCCCTGCACAATGTGTTGAGCGTCCGATTCCACAATTATCATTTGTCATCCTCGCTCCCTAGCCCATCGAACCGCTTCCTCCATTGCGAGTGCCTCCGTCGTCCCAGGTGAGAGACGTCCCCATCTTCTTATGCTCTTACCTGCTAAAAACTGGTCATGGCTATCACAAGCAATCATCCCCAATCCTCTTGTATCTTCCTCGGTGGGTACAGAAGCATCAACATTTATTTTCACTGAACTCACATCCGTAGCCTGCCATTTACCTCTCTGCTCCTTCTTTGTCCGATCCTGGATCTTGGACTGCTGCGCATCCCGCCAACCCTCTAGCATGGCGTTGCCATAAGTGATAACTCCCTTCCAGTTTGGATTTAATTTCTTCCAAACCTTCTCGTTCCGAGCTTTCCACAAACTCCATGCAGCCATAATAATCTGGTCAAACTCCTCCTTAGATCCACTTTCTGCCTCCTTGCTTGCCCACCACCAAAACTAGCCACTGCTAGTTGAAAAAAAAAAATCCAACCCCTACTCCGCCACACCTGTTTAGCCAAGGCGCAATCCCGTAAGATGTGTGGTGTGTAGCATATAATGGGCACACAACTATTTTTTTACCCAAGGAAGTAGGGTGTCGAACCACAGAGAAGCGGGAAATAAAATAATTAAGCACAAACTAAGGATTAAAGTTGGGAGTGCGTTTCTTTTGATTTTTGTTTGCTTGGAAAAGTAATTAAATAAAAGTGATTGAGAGGAGATTTTTATCAACACAAAGTTCAACCAATAGCAAGTAGGGGTAGAAATTGGCAACTAATTGTTCAATGCTCATTTGTAAGACATAATTGCTAATTTTATTCTTAGATAGATTGTGAGAAGTTGTAGATAAATATTTTAGGATCCAACACAAGTCACCTAAAATAAGTAACTAGTCAACATTTCCCAGTGATGGCCAAAACGAGACTAGTTGTTTAAGTGCAACGACAACCTTAATTATTAACTATATTATTTACCCAACCCCGTGGTGTAAATAATATAATTAAATAATTAAATTCTCCCGTAAAACTTCAATCCGGGACAAGGTAAAAGAAGTTTAACGGTGTGTTCAGAAAGTGTTCATTTGTGTATTTAACAAACAATATGTTTATGATTGAGTACTCATAATATATATCATAAACACAACATAATTAAGTTTCTGGACACAACAATCTAAATAGAATAAACTTAACAATTAAAATCAATACAAATTAAAACATTATAAGAACAATTAATTAACCAATTTCTAGCCCCAAATTTATTTAGCTATACATGTTGGGAAACATAGAAATAGATGAATCCATGATTAAAGTACAAGATTTAATGAGATAAGGAAGATCAAACTTGTGATTGATGACAATCCTTGGAGCTTTGATGCTAATCTTGACTTAATCTTGGATGAGAAAGTGATTAGTTATGGTTGAAGATGGGTTGATGATTTGGGGTTGAGAAATGAAGAGAGAAGGAGGAGGAAATGTTTCTGGGATGTTTAGAGAGAGGTTGGTCCGAGCTTATGTGTGGAGGAAGATGGATTAAGGCAATATAATGATAAGGTGATTAATCATTAATTGCTGGGATTTACGGAACAGATGAGTTTATGTACAACAAAGCGCAGTAAAGTTTCAATAGTGGCAGGTAGCTCAACGGATAAGCACTTCAGGGGAAAACTCGGAGATCGTGGGATCGATTCTCGGCTTCAACATTTTGTTCTTTTCTTTGCCGCGTTCAGAAGGAATATAAAAATTGCCAGCTGAATATGTACAACATTGATCACTTAGCACACTGGTTGTAGTAGGCATTCTTCTACCCTTTCTCCAGGGATCGAATCCCAGCTCCATCATTTTTATTTTTTGCTTCTTTTCTTCAATTTACTCCTTATTTGTTTTGAAGAAAATTCCACTTTTATTGACTTCCAACTTGAACTTTTATTTTCTTCTTTTGTTCACTCTAATGTATCCAAATAGCATCAAAAGTACCTGAAAATACAAAATACCCGTGTAGGACTGCACAAGTACAAACTAACGACAAATTATAAAAATATGTACAAAAGTAGAATTTTAATAACTAAAATTAACAACAAACTAAGCCTAAAAAGTGTGTAAAATACAAGTACATCAATGTGCAAAGAGCGCTTTTTCTCATAATCGCATATTGAGCATCGCGGCCACACTGGCACCCTCCGTTGTACTAAACGTTGTTTGCACGGTAAACAATCATTACAAGCTTGCCAAAAGAAGATCTTCACTTTTGGTGGCAGCTCTAAATTCCACATTTTAGCCCAATCCATCGCCGGTAGAGCGCTATGTTTTAGTCTCTTGTAGCAACTTCGAACACTATATAAACCTTTGGAGTCATCAGCCCATATCAACTCGTCATTTTCATGTCCTTGTCGCACCGGTATACTCACAATAAGGTCTCTATCATTTTTCTTAAATAAATCCCCCAATACATCGACATCCCAACCGGATCCATCATTAAGCATGAGTGAGCTAACCTTAATATCTTCTAACCCCGCCACCACGTTCCCAACCGGCCGACAACATGCATAATCATAAAGCCAATTATCCTTCCACACCCTTGCCAAACTTCCTTTCCCTATTCGAAAACAAATCCCCTCACGGACCACCGGTATCGCAACCGTAATGCTCCGCCATATAAGAGACGGGTTATTTCCACACTTTGCTTCCAATATATTTCCGTGGGAAAAATATTTTGCTTTTAGAACATTAGCCACCAAAGTATTCGGGTGCTTCAACAGTCTCCATACCTACTTACCCAACATAGCAATATTAAAATCTCAAGTTTTCTAAAGGCCATGCCTCCCTGAAATTTCGGAATGCAAAGATCATCCCAAGTTTTCCACCTAATGCCTTTGCCTTTGAATGCATGTCCTCTCCACCAATATGTGTTCATAGTGTGTTCTATATCGTTACATAAGTCCGCTGGCAGTAAAAAAACATTCATAGCATATTGGGGCATAGCTTGAACTACTGTTTTTAGTAAAACTTCCCTCCCAGCTTTAGAAAGAAATTTACTATTCCAGCTCTGGATTCTCTGAACAACCTTTTCTTTTATGTAATCAAAAATTTCTTTTTTATTTCTTCCAACCATCGACGGGAGTCCCAGATACTTACCTCCTCCCCGATCTTCCTGGACTCCAAAAATACTAGTTAAATAGTCTCTATCATCCAAGACCACATTTGCGCTAAAACGCACACTTGATTTCTCAAAATTGATTAGCTGACCCGAAATGGAAGCATATTGTGCTAAGATTTCCTTGATAATTAAACAGTTCCTTTCATTTGCCCTGTAGAAAAAGAAACTATCATCAGCAAATAAAAGATGAGACACCAGTGGTGCCCCACGCGCCACTCGAATTCCTTGCAATAGCCCTTCCTGCTCCTTAGCCCTTATAAGAGCACTTATTCCTTCTGCCACCATCATAAAAAGATAAGGAGACAGCGGGTCCCCTGCCTTAACCCTTGAGTTGGAATAATCGGCCCAACAAGTTCACCGTTAACCTGAACGTGGTATTGGACTGTTTCCACGCACTGCATAATTAAATTAATCCACCGGGAGCTGGATCTGAAACACTCCATAATATGTTTCAAAAAATTCCACTCCACTCTATCATATGCTTTGCTCATGTCTAATTTTAACGCCACATATCCTTCCCTGCCCTGAGTCTTCCGCTTCAAGAAATGTTGAATTTCATACGCAACAATAATGTTGTATATAATAGATCTACCAGGAATAAACGCACTTTGATTTTCCGAAATAAATCCACTTAGTAGACTTTTTAGCCGATTAGCTAAAACTTTCGCAAAAATTTTACACATTGCATAAAGCAATCGGCCTCCAATCCCCCATCGCCAATGGATTTTCCTTCTTAGGTATCAGTACTATAATAGTATCATTATAGTCCGCATGTACACTCCCTGTATTAAAAAGAGTAATGTTGGGCCGCGGGTATGCGGTGCCAGCAACAACCAGCCTGCCGGTGCAATCGGACCGCGTGGCGCTTCGCTTGTGCTATAAAGGGGAAGGAGCGTGCTTCACTATCAGCGATTGCTTTTAGTGTAGCGGTAAGCGCAACGATCCACAAGTGGTATCAGAGCCAAGGTCACGGGTTCGACCCCCGGCAACAGCATGTTGCGCAGTTGTAGGCTGGCAGGTGCTGGGGGGGAGATTGTTGGGCCGCGGGTATGCGGTGCCAGCAACAGCCAGCCTGCCGGTGCAATCGGACCGCGTGGCGCTTCGCTTGTGCTATAAAGGGGGAGGAGCGTGCTTCACTATCAGCGATTGCTTTTAGTGTAGCGGTAAGCGCAACGATCCACAAGTAATACAACAATCCACCACCGTCGGGCCTACCACATCACGAAAAGCCTGAAAAAAACCCGGATTTAGCCCATCCGGCCCTGGGGCGTTATCTGGGTGCATGCTAAAAGCCGCTGCTCTAACCTCTGCCTCAGTAATGTTTTGAACCAAAGATGCATTCTGAACATCACTAATTTTCCGAGCAACTTCTATCCCAAGTACATTATTATTCCCCCCCCCCCCCCCCCCCCCCCCCGTGGTGAATAGATTTTCAAAATAATTAACAACCAAATTTCTCATCTCCCCTTGGTCTGTCACCCAGGTGCCCGTATCCGAGTACAAACCCTTCATTAAATTGTTCTGCCGTCTTTGTTTAACCGAGTTATGGAAATACCTGGTATTAATATCTCCCTGTTGCAGCCAGAACTCCTTCGCCCTTTGTTTCCATAATAAATTTTGTTTTTCCAACAAGTCTAAATAACAAACCTTGGCTCTCGCGAACTAAGCCAGTCCTGCAGCATCCATTCTATCTCGGCTTTGTTCCATCTGTCTCTAACATCCCTCAATTCATCGCTGGAAACCTCTACGAAGATGCTTGCCCCACTTCCCGAGCTCCATGCCACAAAATTGTAAACGCTCCAAAATAAGCTGATTCTCACACGAATTCCAGGCACGTTCAACCACATTCTGATAATCTTTCTCCTTTAACCAATGATTTTCGAACTTGAACCTGGACTTCTTGTGCCTCCTCTCTTTTTGGCTAAATTTGAGATAAATAACCAAATGATCGATGTTACTTCCCGTGATGGAAGTAGCCCATGCATCACCAAAGATATTTAACCAGCCATCATTAACAAGTATTCGATCAAGCTTCTCCTCAACCCACTGTTTCGTGCCACGACCTCGTTCCCATGTCTATGAGCCTTTATAAGCTCTCATCTCTCTATTTATAAAACTATACGCACCTATCATCCTCTCATTAGGTGGAGATAAGAGAAAAAATCCTCTATAACAACATGATTCAATATGATATATTTTTATTTTGTCTCAACGATTTAAAATGTAACATTGAAGTGGATGTGATTATCAATATCAATAAATAGTTAAAGTGGCCATATAATACACACCACTTGCAAATACGTAGTATATCTTTATGGCTTGAAATCCAAATGAAAAGATTCGATGAGAAAAGAAGAAGCATTATAACTAGAAATAGTGAAATTGTGGTTTAAGCCATGATGCTATAAAGGAATAGAAGGGAACCATGTGGTTTGGTTAAATATTCACCCCAAAATCCCAAATAGAGGGTAGATAAAGCACTAATCAATATACTCATCATCATATAAATTTCTCTCATGAGAATATCTTTGACTAAACATATGTACATGAATCAATATTTGGGGATGCCCCAGAGTTTAATTGATTTCATAGAAATGAAATCCCAATGGTAATGAGAGTGTGCCCGAGTCCAAGGATAGACCTTACAATTGTATAGGTGATATATTTATACGAATGACCGAAAGAGTATAGAGGACGATGATATCGAACCATACTCTATTGCAATATGAAAGCAAAGAGAATATTGGTAGACATGCATACAAGTGATCCAAGTATAAATTCAGTACTCCGTATTTGATGAAGAGACGAGTGTTTCATATGGCAATACTAACCTACCAAGTATAACTAGGCTTGGACTCGGTTCAGGCCACCCGGCCCGGGAACCGGCCCGGCCTGCTACTGTGCGGGACCGGCCCGGCCAGGTTCTTCGGGCCCAAAACCAGTCTAAGACCTGGTTATTTATCTAAAGCGGGGCGAGCTCAGGTGGGTAGAAAGCAGGCCCGGCCAGGCCCGCGCCCGGTTCGGGCCAAATTAATTTTTGTTTTTTCATAATGAGGTCCTATACATTTCTCATAGTGCCCTAGATTCAAAAATGAGAAGCTACGGGCATGTTTACTAACAGAGATATTTTTCTATTTTCTACTTCTGTTTTTCATTCTCCAATTTTCTGTTTTTATTTTTCAGTTTTTCTATCTCCAGTTTTCGGTTTCTATTTTCGAGTTTTCCATTTTCAAATGTGAAAACATGTTCATCAATTTTTTCACCCAATTCTGTGATCATCTAAGGGTACGGGTTGGGTGGGGTAGTGGGTGGGTTAGGGTGGTGGTTAGGGGTAAAGGTGGGGTAGTGAGTAGGGTTGGGGTTGGGGTTGGGTTGGGGTTGGGGTAAGGTAGGGGTAGGGTAGGGAGTTGGGATAGGATGGCGGTAGGGTGAGGCCAGGATCAGTGTGAGGCCGAGGTAGGAGAAGGGGTAGGGTGGAAGGTAGGATGGTGGTGGGGGTAGGATAGCGGTACGAGGGTGGGGTAGGATGGCGGTAGGGTGGGGTCGAGGTAGGGGGCTAGGAAGGGGTAAGGGATAATATACATGGTGGGGTAGGGTAGGGTGGGTCGGGGTGGGGTTGAGGTGGTAGGGGGGTGGCGGTAGGGTAGGGTGGATCAGGGTGGGACCGAGGTAGGGGCATGTGGAAGGGGGTGGGGGTAGGGTCATTGTAGGGAAAAGGGGTATGCAGGGGTGGGGGTTAGGTGGGTAGGGTAGGGGTAAGGGGTAAGGTACGAGGATGGAGGTACTAGAATGGAATCGACATCGAAGTGGGACCAGACCCACCACTAGGTGTAAGTATGCAAATTCATTGCAGCGACGTATAGCATCTGCGTTTTCCAAATTTGGAAAACTAGTAAAAGTCACTTCTCCAAATCATTAAGGAAAAGAGAGACATGTCTCATTTTTTTGTTTTGGAAAACGGTTTGGTAAACGCGTTTTTCTGTTTTCCTTTATCCACTTTTCCATCAATTTTCTTTGGTAAACATGTTTCCTGTTTTCTGTTTTCTAGTTTTCCAGTTTTCTGGAAAATTGGAAAATATCTCTGTTAGTAAACAAACCTACACTTCTCTCAAGGCAAAAATGTTCAACTACTTGATCCTTTAGTAGCCACTAATGTAATGACGATGCAACTAAAAGGATGTGGTTAGTAAATATCTCAACGGATTGTCTTCTAAGAGATATATGAAATATATGTTATGCTTTTATTACTCCAAATCGAGTGGCTAATTACCACATAATATAATTATATTGAGTCGATCAGTGTTGGATTGAATAAGTCCGAATAAAGTTACATAACTGTCTAAGTGATTGAAAAGGAATGCAAAATAAATGAATGGTGCATTATGCGTATATAAAGGAAATAAGTTACAAATTTCTAAGTAGGGGTGGGCAAAGTGATTCGGTTTAACCGTACCAAGCCGAACTGAAACCGAACCATATATAATTTGGTTTGAGTTTGGTAGTAATTCTTCCATACCGTTTTAAACCGAATCGAAACTGAGAAAACCGAATAAAACCGAACCAAACCAAACCGAAAGATAATACTACCTCCGTCCCTTAAAACTTTGCCAAAGTTGATCGGCACGGAGAATAATAAAGTAAAAATTGTGTGGTTGATGTTTATGCAGAGTAGAGAGAAATAACAGAAATCACAAAATAATTGATTAAAAGGGAAAGTGGCAATGCTTTAAGAAAACAACTAAGAGAGTTTAGAGGAGGTGCTCAGCCCGTCTGCGGGTAGGGTTTGGAGCAGCGATTTTCATCATCAACATTTTGAGGGCTTCGGTCGTTTCTCTTTGTTCGTTGATTCACCTTGGGGGAGCGATGGAGGGTGAGAAAGTAGATGGAGTGCAGAGCAGGTTCGAGGGCCTAGTATCTTTCGCGAGAAGGTGCGGGGCTGCGACAACATCCAACGACTTTGTGGCGGGTGAAAGCTTGTTAGGCGGTTTGGTTTCCTCTGCGGGAGGGCGCGGGAATGCGACCAAGGAGATGGGTTTCAATGGCATCGATACAGGTGAGGGGCAACGTGGACCATAGATCGATTGTGAGGCGCATAAGAGTGGTGTTAATGCTATTGTGACCTCCCCCTACGGTACCGCCACCGAGGAGCAATTGCGAGGTTAGGGTGTGGAGCACTGCTGGAAGGAGTCTTGCAGGATAGTGTCATTATTTGTAGATACTTTGTTTGGGTTGAGGGTGGTTCATGGGAAATGAGGTTTGGGGATAAGGCAAGAAGTGTTTTGGCTAACATGACCTATGACTTCAATTATCTCGCATGTCCAGCAAAAGGTGTTGTTCTTTACAGAGTAGAGTAGTAGACTCTTATGAATCATCAAAGAATGAGGGGGCTTTTCGGGTATAGGAAAGCTAAGGGTAGGAATGTAAGATGGATTCTATGAATGTTGTGATGATCTGCCATTGGTTTGTTGATTAATAAAGTCTAAACTTTTTCCTTTCAAAAAAAAGGAAAGTGGCAAAGTTTTTTGGGACGTCCCAAAAAGGAAAGATGGCAAAGTTTTAAGGGACGGAGGGAGTATGATTTTTGTTTGGTAATAATTCTTCCAATCCGTTCAAAACTGAACCAAATGGAAACCGTTAAAACCCGAACTGAAAATCGATATGCCCACCCCTATTTCTAAGTATCAGCCTATGTTCAAGATACAGACTTAATATGTACTAATAATGAAATACGTAGTATGAGAAACTTTTGGATAATTGAAGGTCGTACTTGAGATGAAAAATCTCAGGAAACTCAGTTCTGTTTTTTTAAAACACCAAGTTGTTTGAATATTAATTCACTAGTTGCATATATCCAACCATTGTTCTAAAAGCCGGCCTAGTCGTCGAACCGATTAATTGGGGCCTAGGCGATAGGCGGCGCTAACTGTGGAGAACTAACCGCCTGACTAGCGCCTAACGAGTTTTAGAACAATATATTCAACAATGTACACTGTTAGCACTCTCATGATTGGTCGTAATATGGATATACAACAAGATCCAACAGTGAAAAGTTATTGGGAGAAGGAACTCCCAATTAAAGTGCAATATGCATATTATTGTACTTTAACAAACATACTTACCCAAATATTACATTCTCATGAATTTGTTAGCTGAAAATAGCTCAGGACAAGCACAACGTAGAGCGTCATTGGAACGGTATCAAGAATGTACTTTTATATCTAAATGAACATCATTTGTATAATCTTTACCTATAAATATGGTTTTGATCATTTAGTCTGGCAAAAAAGGTGATGAAATTGCTAGCCTTTGTGAAATTGGCTTTTTGAGAGATAAGTTGAAATGTTGAACCCACATTCTATTCACCAAACAAATTTTAGCCAAAGCAGCTAAAAGTGTTTAAACCAGCCCAAAAAAAGAAAGACACAAGGGTTTTACCCAACAAGGCCAGTAGTCATGTGAAAGAACCAGATATTGTAACATGTGACAATCAGGCTGGTGAAGAGATCACCTATTCACATCACAGTCTGGGGAAACAGATTTTTTTACTCTAGTCATGTGCACGTTTCCTAACAACATAGATATGAAATAGGCTGACTATGAGGTATGCAATAGTATTCTGATCCAGACGAGTCCCAACCAATTTTACCTTGCAAACCTTTGAGTCCACTCTGCAGCTAGTTTATCATGCTGTGCTCTATTAACCAAATACAACTGAGCAATACCAGGAACAACAGCATTATCTACAACCATAATAATAGTTTTAATATACGAGATCGTGCATACCCACGTTTGGTCTAATTAATTACCCAAGTGCACTTATTTTTCAGACATTGGCATAAGTTGCAAAACAAAACTATCTGAGAACTAATCCAAACAAAGAGGTCATGTAAATCAGATTTGAATTATAAGTTTAGGCTCCATTTGTTTTCCTGAAAAACTATTTCTGATTTTTCTGTTTTTGGCATTTGAAGACATTTTCGCAAATTATTTTTCTAAGTTCTTTAGACTTATGTTACCTATTTTATGGGCCAAATATTATATAATACATTAAGCAACATAGTTTTGAGGAAAACAAATTCCACATTAAACATTTTCCATGAAAGCTCTGTTTATATCCTATACGAAAGTGCATCTAAGTCCTAGCAACATGTGTAGCGCCACTAGTCACTAGTGAGTCTTCATTATATTTTCCTTTGTTCATTGATGCCCCCTTTTATCGCCACCATGCCCTTTTTGCCATATTCAGTTGAACCAGATGAAACACTTGTTAAGGACAAGACTTGATCTATTTTAAATAATCTTTACTTGATTGTAATTATCTTCTTGTATAGTTGCGGTAACTAACTTCCTAGCAGAGTTATAGTCTAACTCTATCACTTTGTATTACTACTTAAACACTTGTAGCACCTCATTATATGTAATTGAAAATATCCAACCATTTGGTTACATGATATCGGAGCTTTAGATTTTTTTTCTAAAACTGATCCCCTTCCCAGCTTCCTCTACTCATGGTGATCACTCCTAGTAACAGTTGTTTACAACTCCTAGGGCATGTCCAGTTGAGCAAATTTGGAGGGGAGGGGAGGATCCCATTCTGCTTTTATTATCTTATCTCGTTTGTCAATCTTGAAATAGAAAATTAACTACTCTTGGGTTTAGGTTAAATCATGCATCTCTATTTACTTGTTTTTCTTCCTCGAAAATCCCCTAGCTAAACAATGACTTACATGTGTCCGGGGTCGTAAACATAGATCTGAGAGCAAGTAGCACCTTTGAAATTGTTAAAGCTGGACTCCAGCCATCTCTCAAAATGACCAAATTAACAAGGCCAGCAGGATCAACGTTGCAATGGTAGATGCGAGTTTTGAAAACAACCTGCAGATGTGCAGATTTTAAGTCTTATACTTGCAAGTGCCAAGAAAATAAAAATAAAAGTGTCAGTCACCATGGATCCATAGAAGTATGAAGCACAAAGTTACAGAAAAGTAATAATTCCCATAAGGGAAGATACAATTGCCACATATCACCTCCTCATGAACATGAATGTTACTTTCCCAATTGACATACTTAGTGTTCCTACTATTTATTTTTAAATTTCAGCCTTAAGATTTCAACATTTATGATATACTTAGATACTGAATGTCTCAATGTAACAGAACCTAAAAGTAGGATGACAGGCTTCTCATATGCACTATTTTCTAGAATCCTAGTGCATAAATCTGCTATTTTATTATTGTTTGTTTGTTGTTTTTAATTATTTAGTTTAGTTTGTGATGTACTAGTTAGATTTATTTTACAGGATGTAATTTGTATTTCTTGTGTGTATTTTGTTGCAAGTACCAAAAGGGATGTTAGGGAGTAATATAAGAACCAAAAGAAGGCAAGGATAAACATAATATAAGTGTTGAAACAAAATCCGGTCGGGTTGAAAGTGACTGTTACAAATGCATTTTTAGGGTTTTAGTTAATTAGAAGAGGAGTCCAGTTTGATGTTATATTTATATTTAATTTAGGGTTTTAGTTAATTAGAAGAGGAGTCCAATTTGATGTTATCTTTATATTTAATTTAGAGTTTTGTTAGAATACGACTTAATCATGTAAAGACAGAATGCCTATTTATAATTCTTTTGAGGAATAATAATCATAAATAAATCATTAAAAATTAGTCTTAGAGAGAAGTCACGGACTTCCCCCTCCCATGCGCTCTTGCAGCCAGGTACCCTTAGCACGCAGGATACGACCTCAACCGGGTACCCTTCTGCCCCAAGTCGTCCCAGTACCCGTTCTCAATCCTATAAACCTAAAACTTTGGTATCAGAGCCGTCACGATCCATGGCGCCACAAAATGAGGATTTAACCACCATGATGAAAGTGTTTATGGAGGCTATGACTGCTAAGGTAACCGCCATAGATGGTCATGTTGCCGCTCTATCTCTGGTAGTCCACAAACGGGATTTCAAATCAACAGAAATCACTACTCTAAAAATCGCTCTAGGTGTCTCACTAGTCCCTATCTAGGAGCTAGGCGTTGGACGGGCGCCCTGAGTTTAGTCTAGACGCACCGATTAATTGGTTTGGCGCGTAGGTGAATTAGTCAGCCACCTAGTTGCCCGTCCAAAGCACTTAATCGACCGCTTGGGGTGCCTAGATTCGCCAAACATTTTTTTTACTTTTTTTAGTTTTCGAGAAAATATATGTACATTAAAATTTAACAGCGCAAATGAAGAAAGCTATTAGTTGTAATTAAGATAAAGCATATACATGTTTGTATATAATCTTAAGTGTTATTTTTATTTAATAATATTTATTACATAATGAAGTTAAGTGAGTTGGTATAAATATAATATACTATTAAATGTGATATATCTGTCATTCATGCATGTTAAAGGGTATGTGTGTGTATATATTCCTTATGCACAGACAAACCCAACATTATTAATCATATTTGTGAAAAAACATTTACAAAATTGTAATCTCCGCGTCTCTGACTAGTCCCCGCCTGGTGTCCACCTAGGCACTAGGCGCTGGGCTGGCGCCCGACTAGCGCCTTTTAAAACATTGACAGAAACACATGAAGAGCAAGCTCATAACAGCCTGATATCACACAGCACCTCGAACCCCTGGAAACTACAGTATACAAAGATGGAATTTCTTGTGTTTGATGGCACCTACGGCCCTATCAGTTGGTTGAAAAGGTGCGAGAAAATTCTTCTTGAACCAAGAAACTCCTAGTGTTGCAAAGATGAATATGGTCTCATTCCACTTGATAGACGATGCACAATTGTGGTTCGATCAAATGATAGAGGAAGAAGGAGAAGTCAACTAGGAGAGATTAAAGAACTCTGTCTGGAGCGTTATGGGCCCCCTTTGAGTTCTAACCCGATTGGAGATCTGAAACTTCTGATACAGAACGGATCAGTTGATGAGTATTGTGCCCAATTTCAGAAAGCCTTAGCAAGAACTTCAAAAATACAGTACACCCATCAGATTGCTTTATTTGTCGCCGGCTTTCATCCACACTTACGGACATTAGAAGCAAGGCAAGCACTGACGCTTGCACCTGTCAAAGTCTCAGGTACTGCAACAGATATGAAACAACGTAGTCCACCACGGCTTAGACAAGCACTAATGACAACAAGGGCAGGAAATCCAATTGTTAAGCGACCCACGAAGGATGAAATGACATAAAGACGAGCAAAAGGGCTATGTTATAATTGTGATGAACAATGAAGGATGAATCACCAATGCAAAAAAGCTTTTCTTAATCAAGATAGAAGATAACGAGGAGGAAAATGGCTTCCCAGACTTGGAGTTGTCTGTCAATGCTATAAGTGGAACTATTAATTCAAAGGCCCGCACCAGATAAGGCCATTTGGGAGCCGTTGAGACTTTTGTCACTGCTTATCCAGGATATGAACTTGGGGACAAGCTCAGTGTCGAGGGAAGGAGTGATGTCACAGATGCATTTTTAGGATTTTAGTTAATTAGAAGAGGGGTCCAGTTTGATGTTATATTTATATTTAATTTAGGGTTTTAGTTAATTAGAAAAGGAGTCCAGTTTGATGTAACTTTATATTTAATTTAGAGTTTTAGTTAGAATAAGACTTAATCATGAAAAGGCAGAATGCCTATTTATAATTCTTTTGAGGAATAATAATCATCAATCAATCCTTGCAAAAAAAAAATCATCAATCAATCATTAAACATTAGTCCCAGAGAGAAGTCATGGACTTCCCCTGCGCTCTTCCAGCCACGAGCAAGAAGAGAGGTAACCTTAGCAAGTAGGATACGACCTCAACCGGGTACCCTGCTACCCCAAGTTGTCCCTGAACCCGTTCTCAATCCACCGAAACCCGGCCAAAGGTTGGAATTGGCAAAGTACCCTCAATGTGAGTTGAAACCACCTAAGGTTGAGTTGGTGACAAGAAAGAAAGTCTGACCTTACAGTAAAAGGCCGAAAAAGAAAAAACTGAAACATTGCCATACAAAGCCTTTGAGGATAAAAAAAGGAATGTTCATGATCCCACTTGAAATAGAAAATAAAACAAAAATAGTCGTTTCATAACATTAAATAAGGCACTTCTTAGGAAGCAACCCAAGTTCTGTGTTTATTTTTGTGTTTTTAAAGTGTTCGTTTTTATTTTTAAATTTGAAATTGAGTGCGGTGAGCGTCGGAACTAACGGTTTAGTGAAAACAGGTGAAAAGAAACAAAAAAAATACAAGTTTGGAGGAATTTTGAAGAAGCGTCCGACTGGGTACACCATACATCCGGTCGGGTATGAGCAAAAAACGGAAAATTTGAGCTATTAGGGCATAAAGCCGATCGGGTACCCTATATACCTGGTCGGGTATGTGTAAAAATGAAGAAACATAGCTCACTGGAACAAAAACCCGATCAGGTGTCCTTGATACCTGATATGGTATCTCAAGAAAAATGAAAAAAAACCGCTCGAGTGTTTTTGAAGGCTAAAAAAGAGCACATAACCCGATCACCTTAAATAGCCTCATCTTCACTTCTTTTCATCTTTAATCTTCTAAAACACCATACAAATCCACCCCGATCACCTTAAACCCCATAACCATATCTTTCTTTCTTCAAAATCTACCAGAATCATCCAACAAATCCAACAAAAACATATCATAATCTTCCTCCTATCACTTTCTTCTTATTCCACATACCTTCTAATCCTTAAATTTTTGAAAATCATCACACCTCTCCCAATTCCCCAACTTTATATCTTAAAAAAAAGGCTAAAGGGTCAAATAGGCCCTTGAATTGACTTAAAGTGATCAATTAGCCCCCCTTATATAGGAGGTTCTGTCCGGCTGTCGCTAATTGGGGCGGTTCCCGTTGGAATTTTTTGATGAAGTTTTTTGAGCATCTTCTTCATCAAGTCTAGTTTACTCATACCAAATTTCAGCTAAAAATTCAACCGGAAAGACAGTAAAATGATTTTCCGGAATGTACTGCGCTGTTTAACTTCGCAGTTATCTTCAAAAAATCATTTAACTGTCTTCCCGGTTGAATTTTTAGCTAAAATTCTGTATGAGTAAATTAGACTTAATGAAGAAGATGCTCAAAAAAATTCATCAAACAATTCTACCGGGAACCGCCCCAATTGGCGACGGACGGGCAGAACCTCCTATACAAGGGGCTAATTGAACACTTTAAGTCAGTTCAAGGGCCTATTTGATCCTTTAGCCTAAAAAAATACAAGCAATGACAACGGCGAGCACTAGGGGTAGTGCTCGGTTTAGCAGGGGGGCACTCTTCATTGTACATATGTATTTCTTCTACATTATATTTTCTTAAAAAATACAAAATCAAAGAAAAAGATGAAATGTCAGTTAGGTAGAAAACTCGAACGGGTAACCGAAGCAACAATGTCAAAAAAAAGTGAGCGAGTTAGGGAGAATAATAAAAGAAATGAGAGGCTAGGATGAAAAAATGAAAAAACTCCTAGGCAAAATGGAAGAACGAGAAAAACTTTTTGCAAGAGTTTTTATCATAGCAAGAAATTGAGGGCATTAGAAGAACCAAACTCAAATCACGCATAGGAGAAGACGAACGAAGGGCATGAGTTTTTTTTTAAAAGATGACATTAGTGAATGGATGGTTGGAAAACCTTGCTTATTGGACTTTAATTGATTTTACTCGGTACGAGTAAAAGACTAAGCATGGGGGATTTTGATATGCACTTTTTCCTAGTGCATAAATCTGTTATTTTATTATTGTTTGTTTGTTTTTTATTTTTTACTTGTTTAGTTTAGTTTGTAACTCTGGCATGATATCATTTTTTTGGTATCATGCCTGTCCCAGGCCAAGATAAAGGAGGAGGATGTTGTGGTAGGCGTGTGACTAGGTCGAAATATG